CTTTTTGTAATCTGTGGCTCTCTCCTTCTTGGAGAAACCCTAATTTTACAAATTGCATGATTTAATTTCCTATTTTACCTTCATGAGTGAAAGTTTTTCGGCCAATTTTAAGTCAGCAGTCTTTCCAAGAACATTTTAGACCATTATTACATATCGTTTTATGATAACAGAATATACTTTTTGTACTTTTGTTTTTTACATAATATTGAAGTTTTCTGTAAAAAAAAAAAAAAAAGAAAACATTTTAGCTCTTCTTAACTAAACGGAAATACATAACTTTTTCACATATATAACTATGTGAAATAAATTCATGTAACTTTTCATTTTTACATTTTAAATTAAATTAGTCAAATAAGTGTCGTTTTGTGAAGATTTCTTTTAAGTTTCAATTTCAACCTTTCAAAACTTTCAGTTGTTATACAACCTTTTAACAGCAGATGGTGCTGTAGCATTACTGATCATCAGAGACCAGGATTCAAACAGTTTACCAATGTATCTCACTCTTTGACACTTGAAACTTGGGATCTCTCCTAACATTTTTGTCCTTTGGTGTGCTTATATGCAGAGTATTCTCTGAACAGTGCAGACCTGTCTTCATTGTCTGGCTTCAACAGCGGCAGCTCGCTGCACCTTGGCTCCATGAGTGGCTGGCAGCAGCAACATCTGCAAAACATGCAGCATTCCGCCCTCAGCCAGCTCGGGTGAGTGCTGGAAACTTACTCTGTTTGTGTTTGGGGAATGCATGATAACACATAGATTATTAACAGATTTTTGTTTTAAATGCCACCCATATACTTTTTCACTGTTCTACATCTTCACTTGATAGGTCATAAATTAAATGACACCTTAGTGTTTTCACATGTGTGTGAGCGAGTTTGCCTGCCTGCATGCTTGTGTGGATGACTTGACTTTACAATCACCTTGTCTCTTGCTCTGTAACTCTGTAACCCCTTTGCCTTTCCTTTTTCCTTCCAACAGAAATTGCTCTAGCTCTCACTTATGTCAGGGTTCAAATTTGTCCCTGCCTTCTGCTCAAAGCCTGCACATCAAGTCCGAACCTGTTTCTCCTCCTAGAGATCGCACCAGCAGCACACCAGGGGGCTACGGCGGCGGGCTGCCACCCAGCCAGAATCCCCCGTCCCGCCAGGACTCGGGACGCTCCCCTGTTGATAGCCTGAGCAGTTGTAGCAGCTCCCACGAGGGCAGCGACCGCGACGAGCACAGGAACGAGTTCCACTCGCCCCTAGGACTGGCCCGGCCTGCCCTGGATGAGCGAGAGAGCCCCTCCATCAAACGGGTGCGCCTGTCAGAAGGCTGGGCGACATGATAACTTTGTCAACGCCCCCTGCTGTGCCCCATGTTGCTCGGAGCCCATGACAATGCAGCATTTTGATGCCCCGAAAGTCAGCTCCCATCTCGTTGTGACACATCGCTCAACCCCACAGCCTCTCTCCTTGTATCTCTGTAACGATGAAGGAAGGAAAAGGGACAACTCTTTTCAAAAAATGTTTTGTTTTTCTTTATAATTTCATTTTAATTATTATTTCCTTTTTTTGTTGAGTGTGTGTGTGTGTATGCTTTACATATTGAAATTATATAAACCAGTGGGGTGTTGTTATGGGCTTTTCTTTGGGGAGGGGGGCAGGTTTTGGTTTGGATTGTTTGTTTGTTTTTTTGCTGGGGAACTATGCATAAATGGTATTGTATCTGGATAAAAAAGAATCACATGCGTATATCTCTACACGTATTTATGTGTACATATATGCATTTCAGCAATTAAAAAGAAGTAGTCAGGTACTCCGTCTCATAAAACGTACTTACAATTTGCCTCAGCAATGTATTATTAGATAGAAAGAAAATTTGATAAAAAAAAAAAAAAACACCAACATGAGAGTGAGTGTGTCCTACAGGGGAAAAAAACATCTTGCACTTGAGTTGGACAAAAAGTACGTCTGTACAGTATCACTTTCATTGCTTATAAACCTTCTGCGCAGTCCTCTCTTGCAAAAACGTGTGTAAACATTAGATGATGTCATGTTGCAGGTTCAACGTATTTATGTAAATAGTGGGTAAATTCAGAGGGGTGGGGGGGTATGGTGCTGCAGGAAGGGGCCTAAAATGTTGCCAGACATTTCAAGATTCAATAACTCAATAAATGTAAAAGTTAATATGCAACTTTGAAGGATTGTACAGGTAAACATGCAGAAACCCAATGCTAAGTGTTGATTTTTTTGGCGCTCCGCTAAGAAAATGGAGCCTTCAGCCTAAGAGCTGCTTTGTTGTAATCAAGAAAAACTCGGGTTCTAGTATTAACTACTCAGTATTGATGAACAAACAAAAAAAATCTAAAAACTTACAAAAAAAAAAATGTACGATACACTTGCTTATATTTTCATATGAAAGGAATACAATGCAAAGCATTTTGTGGCTTTTTGTAGTTTCTATAAGCCAGAATGTGTTTTTGATAGCTTTGCTAATGACAGATTGATAGTTCACCCAGAAAGTGAGAGAGGGTTGTGGGATGACTGGGCTTCAATGCCCTAAGCCATGAAAAACAGACTGAGATCCAATGCTTTGCTGAACTGTTTTATCTTTGTAGAGGTTTGTTTTTAAATGTGTATTTCTAATTATTATATATAATAATGGTAATATTAAGAATCTTTAAAAAAAAAAAATCTGTGAAATTAACATGCTTGTGTATAGCTTTCTAATATATGAATATATATAATAATGTTTTTCTTTTGTTGGTTTCTTAGTGGAGTTTCTATGTGCAGTTGCACATGTCTGGTTTTTTTTGTTTCATTTGAACTCTGAACAGTGCTGTTTAAGGGGTTTGTATTTAGGGTAACTTAAAAAAAAAACCAGCTGGATTTGTGCAACTCGGTGGAGATGGGACCTGAATGCTGAAAAAAAAGTTAACATGAAAACAGCGTTCTTGTGGAAAATGTCACATGGCTGAAAGTGGAGATATCAGGAATAACATAGATTGCTTCATCTAGACTGCCCCTCTCACTCATGAAGAAAAAACAACCCAAACGTTGATGCATTTTATGATTTAGTTCAGTCATTATGATTTTAAAATGATTCAATTTCACCCAGTTTATTGCATCAAGCAGTTTTTCCTGACATTATTGTAAAATCTCAGGTCTTATCCAATCTTAAATGGCCGCTCTACATGTTTGACAAGCTCACACAAAATGCAACGGTTTCTTTCAAATCATATTTAACTAATGCAATTTTGCAAATGCATCATGATGAAATCCCATTGGTTATCCTGATCATTTGCCAACCTAATTTGATTCTGCATCACGCGCTCTTTCCTCATGTTTCAGTCTTGGAAACAAATTTCCACACGACGCCACTGATCCTTCAGCTTTACCTCCGAAAGGAAGAAACTGATCATGCTGGTATATGGGAGAAGCACAATTTGTTGATTTTAGGTAAATAGTTGTTTTAAATTTATCATATTCTTTCTTCTTTTTTAAACAATGAAACTAGCCACATATCTTTCTCTGCCTCCCACTCCGTATCTGCTGTCACTTAAGTGTAATACTATTTTTGTGTCTATATTTCATGCAGGTTCACAATGTTGTTACTGTATACAGTCTGTGTAGTCAAACGAGGCAGAGCCTCTGTAACGGTGTTCTTTCTTTATTTTCTAAGACTTCAATACAAAATAAAAACAAACAAAAAAAAACTGTCGGGAAAAATAAATAAATATGATGTTTCAGGCAGCATAAATGTGTGGAGAAACCAAAGCCAGTGGCATGTCTATGTTGTAAAATCAACTTTTATTTTCACATTCATTTATGTTTTTATTTTATTTTATTTTTGCAAGAATTGAAAAAAAGATAATAAAAGAATCTGCTCAAATGTACAACTGTTTTTTTTTTTTTTTTTTACATTTCCGTCACAGTTAGTTGGTTTTATTTTCGGTTTTTCACTCTGCATTAACAGATAAACTGTTTGATCACTCTTTTATTTTTTCTCTCCCTGTGCATCACATTGCAAAATGTGTCATTAGCAACAACAACAAAAATCTGAATATTTTTTTGCACTTAAATCAAGAAATCCATCCAGGCCTGTCACTACTTCATAGTTTAAATTATGCTAACCAAAGACACGGGGTAAATTTATAGTGTTTTTTTATTTAAACACATCTGGTGTAGATGTTGGTACCTCAAAATTGACCCAAACAGTACCTCAGTTGATTTTTGATAAATAACCTGCAGTACAAAAGGGGAGACCATACCTGTACAGCCATGTGTAATAACATACATTGCTAAATGTCCTGGAATTTACATGGGACTCTTTGTTGGTCCACTGTGTTTGTGGTTTATTTAATTTGTGGTCAAAAATCTGAAGAAAAAAAAACATTTTTTAAAGTGTAATATGGTTAAAAAAATACTTCAAAGTCAGTCTTTAGTATCAATGTAGCTTGTATAAACCTTAAAAAATGGGAGAAAAGTTGGAAGTAATGTTTGTTTTTTTCAAGGAAGCGGCTTTCAGCGGCATAAGCTGGCCTTTGTCGCCACTTGAGACTAAGATGGTTTTAAAGTAAATCACATCTCTGTAACTCAAGGGATTTGTTTCAGCTGTATGTAGTTTAAAAAAAAAAAATTGTGTGGGAATGGAGTCCAAGTCTCCTCTGCTGGGGGGAAAGGCTATTTGTATTTTGCAGAGATTTCAGTAAAGTTACTGGCTTTCTTAGTTATCCTGATGTGACTCAGCGTGTTTTTATTGTGTTGGAGTTGTTTCTATACATGCTTCCTTAAACAGTATTTTTATTACTCATTCAGAAAAAGCATATTGATATAAAAATAATAATTTCAAATATTTGACACCCACTAAAACAAAGATTTTCCTCTTTTTAACACTAACATACTACTTTGATAAAAGCATTAAATGTGTAACTTTTCTATCTCAGTTATAATTACAGGAAAGATTTATTATTCACGTTAAATTGATAGAAAAACGTATTTATTGCAAATTAAAGACAACACACTTGTTCATCAGCAGCAACAGAAAACCATACATAGAGAAACCTGAATGTACAGGCTGTGACACAAATGATTGGCTAAGTGAAGATAGATACACATAACTCAGACTTATATTGTCATTTTCTACACAGAGTGAATACAAGACGAAATGTCATGTCGTACAGCTTTCATGACATTCCCATTTCTTAAAGTGCAGCAGTGATCACACGTAC